CTAAAGTGTGATAAAATAATTTACGGTAAACCATCGGCAAAAGTAATTTTTTGTTATTTAAAATTGAAAAAAAAATTTTTAAGGCTATAATTTTGAGGTGCCAAGCACAGCAATGTAAAAGAAGGGAACTGAGAGTTTTTGAAAATTCATGAAATTACTTATAAATGGATCAAAAGTTAAAACGGCTGAAAAAAATAGTTAAGAATCGTTCAAATTATGAAAGAATTGTTTACCTTTCAAAATATATAAGAATTGTTGTAATCTAAACTGCATTAAAATGTTTAAAAAAAACTTTTGGTCTAAAAACGCGAAATGCATTATTAATACATTGATTTCTATTGAGCTCGTTAAGATGGATACTTAAAGGACTGTAATATATAAAACATTCATAAGTGTTTGGTCACTAAACCAATGAAAATACTTTTCACGCATTATATATATTTTTGAATTATTTTTGTAATGGATATTTTTGTAATTATAGTTAGAAAACGTTAACAAAATAAATTTTTATAGAAAATATATTATTTGCATGAATATTTAAGATAGATTTACGAAATTTTATGCAATTATTGCCATAATAACCCAGAATAAATGTTACAAGTTACAAGCTTATTGCTATATTGTTCATCGTGGAGAGCTCAGAAACGTTTTTTTCAGTTTGTAATTTTTTGTCAGTTACTCAAACCTGTAAAAACTTTAAACTTCCTTGATGTGAGTCTCATGATCTAAACACTTCTAGATGAAGTTATAAAATGATTCCTTACGTATTTCTTGAATAATATAAGACAAATGTGTTCGTGTAGAAGTTTTTACTTATTTTCGTCCAAAAAATTTTAAAAAATAAAATATAATGTAAGAAGAAATAATAGTCATTAATGCAGATATTTTCTACATTTTTGATAAAAGATAAATATCTACATTATTGATTTTATATTGATATGATGAAAGGAATGATTTTAAATTTAATGTAAATAAACTAGTTACATGAAATTCTAATTTTTTCTAAAAATATTTATTTAAATACTATTTTTAAAATAGTATTTCAATAAATAATATTAAAAGACTTAGTAGTAATGTTTATCCAAAACCTCTTCCAAAAGTTACTAAAAAAAATGACTATCCAACTAATGAAATTAAATTCTATCTAAACTCATTGAGTTAGTTGTATGTTATAATTATTTCAATTAATGTTAATAATTTCTCTAAAAATTATCAAATTTAAAAGGTTATGAAATTATAAATAATTGTTCCCAATAATTGAAATTCGATCTTTTATTAATTATAAACTTTGAATTATCCTGTATAATATAATAGCCTTGCTCAAATACAGTTTCAGGCTAATCCAAGGTAGCTGAAAAATCACTAGCGGCTCTGTACTTTAGTAGGAACGCGCCGTAAAATACATCCCACTAACCTCTATTTGCACTTTTATTTTCATATTTTATAATCTGGCAAACTAGTTACAAAATTATTTTAAAATCAGTTGGGCAAGAAGCCAGTAAATAAAAGGACGTTTCAATTTGCTACTAAAATATGTAACGCTTTATATGTGACATCATTTTGTGTTCCATTTCGTATTTTTCTTGAATTTATATTTTTATTTTGTAATTTTTGTTTTATTTTATACTTTTTGCTTAATATGCTTTACATTCATTTAAAAAAATTTTGTGCTCCTCACACTATTGTATTGATATATTTTGCTCCGTTTTTATTAATACAATATTAGAAAGTACTTTTTTTGCAGATATAATTGTGAGAAATAGCGACTGGGATTATATGATTCCTCATTTTGATTTTAATTTATATATATATATATATATAGAAATATA